GAAGTTTAAAGTATACAAAAGTCTGCTTAACAAGACCTGAATAGAGAGATAATGTAGATTTTTGACAATACTATATAAAAAAAAAACCAGAAAACCAAACAGAACTGAGGTATTTGGCAAAAGTACTATACAAACTAGGCTATTAGGCAATTAGAAGAAGGGATCACCTTTCTGAACTATCTGAATTGGGAGTTTAAAAAAACTAAAGATATAATAAATAGTCTTTAAAGTAAATGCTGGGTTTGAATAAACTTTACAAGAGTAAAAATAGATAACAGTAATGGTCTTAATTCGTAAATACTTATCTTTAAACTCAGTATAAGTTACTAAAGTCTAATTTAACTAGTATAGAAAGTTCTAGCAATGATGCCTTGAAGATAAATTAGTTTTAAGAGAATAGAAAAGTATCCAGAACTTCTCAATTGACAAATATAACAGAAATATACTAGTGATACAAATAGATTGTGTTATAAAGAGTTTAAATAAGTAATATCTATAGTTGAATCACAGATATAACATATAGTATAGAATCTACATTATCTCTCTATTCAGGTCTTGTTAAGCAGACTTTTGTATACTTTAAACTTCTAGATTTACTTAGCTGCTTTACTTGGGTTTTATATAATTTATATATCACACTAATATTTTACAGCTTCCTAGTACAAGCTGGAGATGTTCTATAAAATAGATGGCAAACTTCACAAACTCTGCAACTCCGCTATTAAAAAATTAATAATTACTAATCATTAGCAAAGCTTATTTTTTATATTGCCTATCTATTCTATAGAATACCCCAAGCTGGTATAATCAAAGTTACAAATGCTGATCTATTAGATTACATACAGTCTGCTATAATATTTATATAAAATTTGAATTTTGTCATTAGTGAGATTCTAATACTTGTCCTGCTGCTTAGCAGTGTAACAACTTATCAACTTTACTAAGTTATTATATACCTTTAAAAATTATATATATTTTTTTTAAAAAAGATCTATTTGGTTATTAAAATATATAAAAAAATTTTTTACAAGTTTTTAAATTTTGATTCAGCCAAGTTATAAAAACCAAAAATTTTTTTTATATAACTTTACTGTATATAGTATAATATATTTTACTGTATATTAAGTACAGTCAGACCTCTCTAAATACAATGCAACAAGACTATATATAAAAATTTAGTCAAATGTGCACTTAAAGAAGTATTGCATTTAGAGAGATAAAAATCTATAAATGTAATATTAGTTGGGCCAAGAGAAGACATGCATTTAGGAAGGTATTTCATAAGACATGTACTTAAGGTGTAGCATTTAGGGATCTAACTGTACTAAAAATAGTAATTTTTGTATATAGTAATATAGTAGAAATAGCAAAATACCATAATAGAAATAATAACTCACTATATTTAATAATAAATAACTTTTAACTACTGATTAGTTTTAAATTAAAAAATTTATTATATTAAGATAGTTTTAACAAATCCAAAATTATCAAAATCTAATTATGAAATTCTAAACTCATTAAAAATCAATACAATATAAATAATTTATTAGATATTTTAGTATTTCTTGGTTAATGAAAGTATATTTAGCTACCTATACAACTTTTGGTTGCATATTTAAGTAGTCTGCTTGAAGGTTCTACACTATATGTTATATCTATAACCTAACTAGAAGATTATCTATTTAAACTCTGATATTTTCTGTTCTGCACTACTATTACAATTATGTCAATCTATAATCTCATGCTGCTTCAATTGAAGGCTACCAAATCGACATATACTATACTACTTATGCTCTAATTCTATAGAAACTCTATAAAGTTCTCATACTACCAGGTTGCCCTAAGGTGGGATTATATATAGTATAGGTAGGCATATAATATAAGTGATGACTATAAATATGACAAATAGATATGTTATACAAGAAATATATAAAATTTCTAGAAGACTATATAGTTAATATTTATATTTTTATATTATACCTCCTGTTATATATAAAAAACTAACTCTAACCTACTAGTTTATGTTTGTTGTCCACCTATACTATAGATCAACCAGAAGGGATAATATATACCCCTCTAATCTTTCTATATCCTACATATTTTAGATTAACTTCAAATACCTTTTGCAGCAGCCGTAACCACTACTAGCAGTTAGGACTAACCATTAAATCACACAATTCTAGTATTTAGTATCTTTACAAAATTTGTTTCAATCTTGATATCTATATCAAACCAATCCTTATACCGATTCTTCCCAAATTACCAAATCAGTTAGCTCAGATGGATCATTATATTTAGGCTTTAAATACTTTTTAGTTTTACTTTTCTTGGTTTCTAATTCCATAGCATAGGATCTTTTCTTTCAGTATAACTCTGGTAACCAGATTGGTAAACTCTTTTTGCTTTAAGGTTTTTGTCCAGTTCTTTGGTCTCCAGTTTCCAACTTTCCACAGTATCATCAAAGATCTTCACTACTTTCTTGCTCAGATCTTGCCAAATGGGTTTCAATTATTCCAGTTCCTTGGATTTAGATCATCCAAAAGCTTTCATTTCAAGATAGTAATATCAAGATTACAGGTAATATATCTAACTGATCATTGAATAATTGTTACCAGTACACAGACCTATTTTCTAAAAACATTTTTAGTGAAAATCAAACTCTAGACCTGCTGCTTGGGAGGTAACAACTTAACCACTACTCTAAGTCATCACACCCTGAGTTTTATTATATAAAACCTATTTCTTAATTAATTGTCTATATTATATTGATTATATTTTAATGATTTTGAACTTGTTGAAATTGTCTCATTAAGATAAACATTTTGACATTTAAATCATCCAAAATTAACCAGTGGATTACTGTCAAACATATTTACATAATATAAAACTTGCATGATTTCAGAAACCTATAATTAGATTTTAGCAATTTTGGACTTGTTAGAATCATCTCATTTTGGTAGCTAAATCATTCAGAACGGATCAGTAGATCAAAAGATATCAAATCAGCACATATGTATTTGTTTTTATTTATATAAAGCATACTTTTTATTTTATATTAGCTTAATAAGATAATGAAATTTTTAGATTTGAAAAATCAATTCTTCGAAGACATAGTGCTCTAAAAATAGAATCACAACCAATCAAAAAATAACTTTGCGAATTGAATTAAAACATGTGACCTTGTTCGCATAAAAACATAACAATGTCTATAAATAATCAAAATCTGGGATTGAAATTTCGTGTAATGCCCATATAACAGCTTACTGATTTCGATAATAAATATATGTTTAATTTATTTTTCACATGACAAAATAAAGCCTCTTGTTGATCATGCATATACGAAGAAATGTTTACCATGATTTGAGCTTTACCTTTTTTGATCAATTTCAACTTTGATGATCTTGGCGTTGACTAATTACATGATTAACAAATAATGCAAATTAGCTAACGTGTTCTTCGATTCAAGCAATCTTTGGATCGACATCGTCATAAGATCGTTATATATCATTATTTTATCGCGTCAAAATGTGATTTTCAATTTCTTAATATAGATATTTCATCACCTTTTCTATATTTTATAATTTAAATAGATCTTGCATGAGCAAATCATATTCTTAAATAGGAAACGGAGGCTTTGATAAATTAGCAAATGTAAAATGGTATTATATTAATATTATAGATTTATAGTAAATACACAGCTAAACGAATTAAATATATAATATATATTTACTGAAAAGACATTTGTAAATACAGATAGATAATCCTTTTTCTGAACAATTTGTATAAATGATTGTGATTATGGTAAAAATTTATGATCATTCATAAATTTTATAAAATTAAAGTTTTTAACAATCTCTCCTTTAATAAAACTAACGTTTAATTAGGAGTTAAAGGAATTGTTTGGTATATAAATGTTTGATAATTATTTTTTTTATACATAATCCTCTACGTCTAGATCCATTACTACTAATCTTGTAGCCTCAACTGCTTTAAGATCAGCACATTTAGCATAAAGATCTGCGTCGATCTGAAATTTGTATCCACATGCTAGACTTTGAAATGTAATTACGCGTTTGATGATTGTAGCCGTAGTACGATGTTTTTGGAAATTAACAAGCGGTTGTTGAGGAAACGGTGTATAGGTATGGAACAATGATGGAGGTTGTGAAGCCGGATCAATAAATGATGGTAAGGCTGCGTTAAAAACTAAATCGGATAAATATAGAGCTATGGAAAAAAAAAAAAAGTGAGAAACACATTTAATAGAAAGAAATTCCTTTGTTGTTCTAAATTAATGTGTACCTAAAAAAGGAATGCACCCAGTATTTGCTTTTTTCACATCGGAGCCACGCCTTCGCCGTTTAGTTGGATCTTTTACCACAGAAGAGTCTTCTACAACTCGGCGCATAGCATCTCTCACCACCTTCCAATTGCCGAAAGGTGATATGTAATCATTTAGTTCCTTAAGAATGCGTCTCTCTGCCATGCGAACACGAGTCCAAGTTCGACGAAGACGTTCTACCGGTGAAGATTGTAATCCAAGGAGAATTTGATTTAAAGTCGCAAAATTTGAAAGTTGTAGGCATTTCTTTTCGAAAATAGGAATCATAATACATTGTCAATAATCATGAACAAAAAAGTATGACTGAACTAAATGGTGTTTAAATACGATATACAACCTGCGCAATTCGTATAAACTTTTCAATCACTCTCACTCGATCTTCTAAAGAGTGTGTGAGCATAATTTCGGTAGCAACCCAATCAATTGTCTAAAATGGTTTACGTGTTTAATTAATTGTTTCTGACTTGTTGATTTTTCTCTATAAGAACGATAATAATACGCACTTGATTAAATCTTTCAATGACCTTGTCTACTCCCCCATCTTTTATTGGTTTGACTTTAATCTTCTCTTCATCAATTTCAGATTCAACTTCTTTTCTTTTTCCTTTAACATCTTTTTTGGCCTCTTTTCGAATGTCTTGAATATTGGAATCTTTCTCAACGTCATTATTATTGTTTTTGTTTTTATTGCCATTAGTCCAGCTAACTTGAACCAACTCTTCCCACTGGACTTGCATAAGAAGATCTCTTTCAATTAAACAAAACTGTTTCGCAATTGCTTCTGATCTATACGACAGTATGAAAGATTTATATGGGTGTTGTCGGGAACTTGGATCTGTTGATGAAAAAGATGATGCTATTCGAGTTGGAACACTGGTAGATGAATGTAACTACAACTATCAGCTGTTTATTTTATAAAACATTCTTACTTGGTCCTTGACTAACACTCGGTTCAGTGGTTGTGTGAATTGGTGTATGTTTTGGTCTTTTAGAACGTGAAATATTACTACCTCTATTGTTATTAGTGCCTTTTTCAAGAGCCATTGCTTCTGAAGAATTTTTAGGTGGTTTAGAGGTGGTGTGCCTAGTCCGTTGACGAGCCCCACTTTCTTGAGATCCATTCTTAGCAGGCCCTCTACGTCTTGACGTTGGTGCCGTTTTTGATGTTGATCGAGAAAGTGACATCATGGAATCAGGTGCAGAGTCTGCTGTTGCGCCACCGCCTTCAACTCCATAAGAAGAAAACGTTCCCCAGGAGACACGCTTGCCGGACTTTTCATCTAAATCTTTGAGGTTGGTAACTGAACGTAAATCAGGTACTTTTGGAAGTCGACGAAGAGTACGAATATTATGGTGGTCACCTGATTCTTCTTCTTCATATAAATCATCATATTCTTGTTCAAAAGATTGCTGAGGAGAAAAGTTTGGATCTGTGTCGACACCTTCCTCAACTTCCGAAACACTTGCAAGATAGCTTTGTTTGCGAGTTGGTTGTTGTTCATCATCTTTTTGTGATCCATTTGACGAACTTTGTGACACAAAATAAGTGTCCGTCTCTGATGATTGAGTGGGTTGATCTACATCATCTTCAACTTCAATCACCGGAACTAAATTCCAAACTTTTGCCTTTCTACGAGTAGCACGGACTAATTGACGATTGTCTCTTGGCTCTTCATAATCCTGTATATCATCATCGTCGCTTTGCTTATCTTGGGAAAGGGTGGAAAATGTGGGAGGGTGCGAATCAATTGGTGATGATGTTAAACTCTCAAAATTAGTGTCATCGTGTGTACTTTGCTGTTCATCATACCACTGTTCAAATTGTTGCTCTGTTATCTCAGATTCTTCTGGATGAGACGTGTCGTAATATTCTTCTTCGACAGACTCATCAACGTAAGAAAATCCATCGAGATGAATATGATATTCATCTCCATTAAAAAGTTTTGGGCTAGTGCCATCTCCCCAAGATAGGTCGGAGTCAATCTCTTCGGTGCTGGCTGAACCAGAAGATGTTGCACATAGCATACTAAGCCTACCGAATCTCATTGTCCGAAAATCACCTTGAATACCACCACACTTTGTCGATGTTCCTGACTGAGTAGCACCTTTATTTTTCTCACCATTAAATAATCCTTTTGCGAATTTCCCTACTGTGATTGACATCTTTCGAGGCCATGAAGGACGTGCGGCAGGGCGACGCCAACTTTGTTCTTGAACTGGTGGTTGATTTCCAGTTCTTGAAGAATTTGAACCAATGAATGCAGGTGACGAATTTCTTCTTGTTATTCCACCTGCATGATCAATGTTAAAAAGATCAAACTCGTCATTATCATCGTCATCATCATCTTCTATAATTCCGCAGATTGCTTCCGAAAAAGACATGCTTCTTTTCTTACGAGAACTAGGTAGCGAATAATCCACGATTTTTTCTTGCGTGGTAGCCTTTTTAGGTTTCTTCAAAGGAAAGTTGTTTTTTAAAAATCCACTTTTAAAAAATGAAGGTGATGCAGATGAAACATCAAGTGTATGCCTTCTGCGTCGTGGTGGAAGTGGTGGAGGTTCTTCTTCAGATAACGGATTTTCATTCTCATTTATTTCACTTCCTAATTGATTAAATATATCTAATCTTCTTTGTGATAAGTCACCCATTGAATTACTTCTTTT